TAAAATATCTAACATTACAGGATATAGGTTCAGTTTCTTAAAAAAATTAAAGCTGCTAAAATTGAGAGGTTAAAAAAAGATACCTTATCCTATTCCTACCCACCCACCCATGTTTTTAAACTAATTTATATAAAATCTGGAGGCTGTTACAGCTAACAAAGCAGGTGTGTGGCAGAAATATTACTTTAAATTTGTCTTGTGAGATTTTACTATATCTCAGACAGCCTAAATGCTGTTTTAGCACTGGATTCTTTCACTGAGCACAAAGAGTTGTTGGGGCTTTAGCATCTGACTGATTTTGTTACGGAATTGATTCTGACCATAGTAAGTATGCAGTGTGAATCACTATTTACAGAGAAATCTACAACAGATGCTTGATGTTGTAGAAACTGGGACATTTAGATACCAAGCAAAATTATAAGAAACCTAGAAGGTGTTCAATACGCTTGTTGTGTTTCCAAAATTCACTGTACATGATCAGTTTGGTGTTCTTGTACCACAGTTTTTAACGGAAGGAACCAGTTGGAACAGTCTCAATTTTAACTAAAACTTGAAGAACTAAAACAACAATGCAAACCTTTCAGCATTGTTTTGGCCAAACTTGTTAAAACTGTAATGCAAGAACCAAATGCACTGTGATGTGGCACCAACTAATTAGCAAGCATGAATTTTTCACCAAGAGTGAAAAAAAAGGAAATCTACCATGGCTTGAAGTTAAAGAGCAGAACTCCTGACTACCATTCTATGACTGATCAAAAGACTAATAGTTAAAAACCTCAGCAGGCCTTGTTCACGATATGCAGAAAAAAAGTGCTGCAGTTTAGATACCTCTGGAATTTTTCCACAGTGTCACAGGTTTGTAATACTTGAAGCCCTACATTTCTAAGAATATATTTCTTGCTCAGTTGTTTCAGGCAAGCCCAAGACTTTGTAATTTTTAAAGGGCCCAACTTTTTTTTTTTTTCCAAATAACAGACCAGCTTCTTTTTCCTGCAGTTACAGATGTAATTTCCTTTTTGTTGTCAAACATAAGGTACCAAATATGATGCAATAAATTGTTTTGAAAAACAGTTGTGTGAATATTTCAACCTATCTGTTGGGCTTCTGTGAAAATACACAGGTGGAAACAGAGGTGTAAGTGAGAGGCAATGTAATGTGCTGTAAGGGTAGTACAGATGGGAGCTTTTTAGAAGGGGCTAAGTGCTGGTGTCAGGGGAAATTCCATAAGTAGAGTGCTGCTCCTGCATTAAGATTTCATTGAGGACTAAGTTGGTGGCAGGTACTATGAATGTAATTCATAATTTGAAAGGAAAACTAAAAACTATTTTGACTGGGAAAATGAGCCTTAACATGTTAAACCTGTACACTGAGAACTAGTCTCAGGCTTAATATTCTCATTGCATTTGCAAGATCTGAGCAAATACGATTAAAGTACAATGAACCAATTGTATATATAATTGACCTTTGTGGTACTTTTAGTTTATAGAAAGTGTACTCTAAAGGGAATTTTCAGAAGACCTGATCCTTTTATTGATTGAACAGTTGTGCTAAAATCAGCCTTTCATAGTACATGACCTGCATTCCACATCCCAGTCTAACGGTTTAGTGATGTAAAGGAAAGTTCAAACTGAACTCCAGTGCTTTGTTATGTTTTATTAACTGGCCCTGTCTCAGGAACATCTTAACAGATGGCAAAAAGACAAAACCTTTTCAACTTCTCCTATGAGTGGCAACTGAAGTTCTTATTGTTGGGGAAGAACACTAGTGCTACCTCTGCCACTAATGAGGTGTTTGGAGGAGGCACCAGCCATATAATAGGGGGTGTATGTGTGACTTGTTTAAACTCTACTGTATATCGAAATGGATTCATCTATTTGTCTTGACAATGTTCAAATGATGTAGATTGTCTTAGAATGAATATTCGTAAATACTCAGAATTCTTAATGCAGATGCCACCCGTAAGGAGCTAAATTCCTAACATGTATATTGTATTCCATCCCAATTTTACTGGAACTATTGAATAAATCTTTTATTTTCTTTC